TTGAAATCTCTCAAAGATTGTATTTCTTCGGGGAATAAAATGATTGTCGAAAATCTGCATTACATCTTGAAAGGATGCATTCTCCACTGGTTGATTTTGAAGTAAAATATCTTCTGCTTCATTTCCCATTAAATACAACAGTAGGTCTAATTTATCCTTGTCAGATTTTTGTCCAAATCCACTTACAGACATATATCTCTCTACTCTTTTCTTCCATTGGGGCCATGTCTGGGGCTGTGTAAAATCAAATTCGCTTGGAGCCGAAATGTTCGCAAACACTTCTTTATTTATTTGGATAGGTGCATCCATTTTAAGGATTTTAGGTCCCCTCTGATTTATAGGTTATGCATAAGATTTGCACTGTTGTCACGTTCGACCACTCTTTGCTTGTTTAATGTTAACAAAACAAAGCACCAGCTGCCACCATGTCGTGTTATCAAAGAGGGGTTACAAATAATAATCGTTACTTCACAACATCAGTTTATTCTCAACCCTCAAACATACATGCTTGCCCGAGCTTCGGCTACCTTCACATGACATCCATGTCATCTGTGTTGCCTAACTCCGGCGCCTATATCTTAATCTAAGCTAACAACACAGAAATTATTGTATTAAAGTCAGATTTAACCATATAAATATCTTAGTTTATTGTCATTGGAAACTATAAGCAAGTATTACAATTGTACGCTTAAGTTTAATTTTAAATAGGGATTTGGACTGACTATGAATCTGATCAATATTTTTTTAAACAATTGTAAAATTTGATGAGTCATAATCCTGTGTGGGTCTGATTGTTTTTAATAGATTTTTTTAAACAATGTAATATTTCTAGTAATATAAATCTCAATTAAAGTGGTGTTTTATTTATTTTGGTTAAAAATTGAAAATGTGCATAGTAAATCTATACCACTCATTTCTGTAGGATTTTAAAAGCTGAAAGGAGTACGTAGCAGGAGGGGATATGCAAATAATACTGTGGTAAGATCATTTGATCTTTAGAGTTCCTGCAAGATACAGAAAATGTTAAAATATTTGAAGAAAACAGAAAAGATATTTTCAAATAACATATATGAAAACCTGATTCGAAACAAAAGAAATTATAGGAAAAATTGAATTGAAAACTAGTTTCAGGCAAAAGGAAGTTGTTGCCTTTGTATACCAAAGTCTATCTATACAGCCCTTGCTGTCCAATTTTGGACATAGGCCTCCTCTTCTTTCTTCCACGTCTCTCTATTGTAGGTAGTTTGTATCCACTTGAGAACTGCGTGTTTTTTCAAGTCACCTGATCATCTCATTTGTGGCCTTCCTCTTTTTCGTTTGTAACTATATGGTCTCCAGTTTATAATCATCTTATTCCAAATGTCATCTTTCTGTCGTATGGTATGTCCAGCGAACTTCCACTTAAGTTTTGCTATCTGCGTTGATTCATCGGTCACTTTTGTTTTGTTGCGGATCCAAGTATTTCTTTAAAAAAAAAAAAAGAGGTTAATCTTTGTAAATGGGTATATTTATTTAAAAAACCCTTAAAAGGGCCACATCAATAAAACAAACGTTTTCGGACCACACAGTCCATCATCAGGTTATTAAAATCGAAAATGCTAGGTCATAATGCCTGAGCCACCAAAATATTAGGGTAAAAACCCTTTAAATTACATTTAGTTATGAAATGTTGTACATTGTGTTATAAAATAACTATGATGTTCAATATTAAATTAAATTTGACTAAAGGTAACACATGGCTCAATTGGGTTTCAGAGCCGGGTGAGAGGGAACCTCTGCACTCGGAGAACAACGTGGAACTGTGCAGAGGTTCCCTCTCACCCGGCTCTGGAACCCAATTGAGCCATGTGTTACCTTTAGTCAAATTTAATTTAATATTGAACATCATAGTTATTTTATAACACAATGTACAACATTTCATAACTAAATGTAATTTAAAGGGTTTTTACCCTAATATTTTGGTGGCTCAGGCATTATGACCTAGCATTTTCGATTTTAATAACCTGATGATGGACTGTGTGGTCCGAAAACGTTTGTTTTATTGATGTGGCCCTTTTAAGGGTTTTTTAAATAAATATACCCATTTACAAAGATTAACCTCTTTTTGTTATACGTGGTATACAGCCAGCTACAGGAATTTTTCCTTGTGGATTTTATTTCTTTTTTGTCTGATAGCCTGATGTTCAGCATTTGCCTTTCCATGGCTCTTTGGGTCCTTGCTATTTTTTCCATATTTTTCTTTGTAAACGTCCAAGTTTGAGAACCGTAGGTGAGAACAGAAAGTATACATTGGTTGAAGACTCTTGTTTTTTAATATTGGGGGTATTTTCAATTTTTTATATATAGGAAAGTTTTCCGAAGGATACCCAAGCCAACTATATCCTTCTCTTTATTTCTCCGGTCTGATTTTATTTATTTAATTTAACTAGTCCCAAATATATTCTTTTACTTGTTCTATAGTTGTTTGTGCAATTGTAATTATTAATTCTTCTGGTTGATTGGTCATAATTTTCGTTTTATTACAATTCATTTGTAGACCTATTTTTGTTGATTCGCTATTTTATTCATACTTCATATTTTGTAATTCTTCCCTTTTATCTGTTATTAATACAATGTCGTCTGTATATCTCAAGTGATTCAAGTATTGGCCATTTATGTTAATAGCCCGTTTTTTCCATTGAAACTTCCTCACAACATCTTCCAAAGCTTGATTGAATAGTTTCGGTGATATAGTGTCACCCTATCTGACTCCTCGCCGTATCTTAGGCTCCGTTTGTTCAACTATTTTAATGGATGTTGTTGCTTGATCATATATATTGGAAATTAAATCCGTACATCTATAGTCTATTCTTCCATTTTCTAAATAGTTCTTTACTGCCCAATGTTCCACCTTATCGAATGCCTTTTCAAAGTCTACAAATGCCATATACATTGGGATTTGATATTCGTTGGCCTTTTCAATTAATATTTTTATCGTAAGCAGATGGTCGCTTGTATTGAATGCTTTTCTAAACTGGCTTGCTCTCTTGACTGGTAATTATCTAACTTAGTTGTTAATCTGTTTGTTAGTAGTTTAGTTAACAGTTTGTACATTACATTAAATAGCGTTAAAGGCCTATAGTTTTTCATATCTTTTCTATCACCTTACTTAAATAGTAATAGTGTTATTGCCTCGTTCCATGTGGTGGGTATTTGTTTTGTGTTCAATATTTTATTCATTAGTACATAGACTACTTCCACTGTAGTGTTCCCCCCATTTTTTAGCATTTCCACAATTATTCCATCTTTTCCAGATTTTTTATTCTTCATTTCTTTTAGTGCCTTTTTTATTTCATTTTTACTGATTTCTGGTTGTAGGTCAGAGTTAATGTTCTATAAATTTGTAACTTTATTATGGATTACGGATTTCTTGGGTTGGTTTTTGTTCTGTTTTATAGAGATTTGTATAATATTCGTGTGTTATCTGTAAAATTTCTTTTATATTGTTGGTCTCCACTCCTTCTTTGTTCTTTATGCTATTAATTTGTATGTTTCCCAGGTTCTTCTTTAAGCACTTCATGTTTCTATTTTTTTCAATTGTTTTCTCTATCTTTTCTTCCTGTACTCTCTGTTTACACTCCTTGATATTTTTTCTAATAGTTATGTTTATTTCTTTGTATTCCATTTTATTTCTGTCCCCTTTTCTAGTAATGTTCTTCTTGTGTTCATAAGAATGTTTGTTTTCTGGGATATGAAACTTTCTTTTTTTGTTGTTGTCTCTATTTCGTTACCCACTTTCATTAGAGTTTCAGTAAATATTATGTTTATTTCATCGATATGTTTGTGATCTACATTTTCCTTGGTCGGCAATATTTTCTTTATTCTCTCTTCGTACATCTGTTTTTTTAAACTTTGAAAATAAGGCTATTATCGAGCACAAGTTAATTAAATCTAGCCCAAGTACTTTCGCTTAAAAAAGCATCTTCAGGGGCATTTCGTCAAAATAAGAACTATCCGGCAAGTGTAGGATGTGGAAACATTAAAACTAACATAAATTATACAAAACACTACACTAAAACGAGGACAAACAGTTTAAAATTACTTCTACGCTACATTCTCTGTCAGTTTCTGGAGGGATAATGTTTCTGGATTATCCCTCCAGAAACTGACAGAGAATGTAGCGTAGAAGTAATTTTAAACTGTTTGTCCTCGTTTTAGTGTAGTGTTTTGTATAATTTATGTTAGTTTTAATGTTTCCACATCCTACGCTTGCCGGATAGTTCTTATTTTGACGAAATGCCCCTGAAGATGCTTTTTTAAGCGAAAGTACTTGGGCTAGATTTAATTAACTTGTGCTCGATAATAGCCTTATTTTCAAAGTTCATTTATTCGAGCATTCAACCTCATTTCATTTATCTGTTTTTTTGTTTTAGTTTTTCCATATCTAATTTCTGATTATTTTCCATTTTTTTTCTTGTTTCAAATCTACTATCAATGATCAGCTTGGCTCGAACTAGTCTATGGTCGCTACCAATTAAGAAACGATTTAGGGCTGTTACATCTTTAACCATGGATTTTTGTGTTGAAAGAATATAATCAATTTCGTTTTTAGTTTCACCATTAGGACTAATCCATGTCAAATTTCTTTGGGGTTTTTTCTTAAAGAATGTATTCATTGCATATAGTTGCTTCTCCTCCAAATAATTCATCAATGTGTGTCCTCTATCATTTCTTTTGCTGCATCCATGGTGTCCTACTTTGTCTTCTTCTTTATATAGTTGTCTCCTATTTTGGCATTAAAGTCCCCAATTATTAGCATTAATTTTGATTCCTTTTCTTCCATAGCTGGTGTTAGGTCTTCGTAGAAATGTTCCATATCTTCATTGCTGTAGGTACTTGTTGGAGCATACACCTGTATGATTTTTAAGCATGTTCTTTTTAAGTTAAGTGTCTTGTATGCTACTCTATCTGATATGCTGCATAGGTATTTCAAAGGAATAGTAAAAAATTGATCAATCTTAGTTAATATACTATAATAATAAATATAATGTGATTTGATTAAGAATAAATAATTGGAAATATACCTTAAATAACTGACAAATATCAACTATATTATTGTATTAAAAGTGCAAAATTCTTATGATTTATTTTTATTTGGCAATAAATTATGTCTCCTCATATTATTTAAAACACTATCCAGAGAAGTTGTTTTCTTTTTGGCGCTTCCTTTAAGTGTTTCCTCTCCCTTATTCCGTATTTTTAATTTAGGTGATGACACTTCATCCATAAAATCAAAATCAGTTGGTTCTTCAGACCTACAAAAGAAACAAAACAATTAAGAAAATTCTCCAAGGTAAAATCCTAAATGATTACAATAGATTTTAAAATAATTTTTTACACTTATTTTGTTAGCTGGCAGTTATTTTATAAATTATTTTATAATAATAATAATTATTATTATTATTTTATTTGTAAAGTTATTTTATATGTAAAGAATGTTACAAAAATAATGGTACAAATAGAAGAACCTGATTTAAAGAGCATATTTGGATTTGGAAGGGAAACGCTAGAATGTAGGGTGACTGAAGAGATAAATCAAATCTGTCTTATCAGGTAGCAAGTAAAATAAGTTTTTGGTCTTACTTTGTACTCAAACATACAATATGCTACTAACTCTTTACTTTCGTCTTCTTGATCCGGTTCTTCCGTAAATTCTGGAGAAGGGGAACGATATCCAGGACATTTCCAGAATAATTCTTGTATTTCTCCATTGTCCAATAAAGTGTATAACCGATCTATTTCTTCAGGTTTGGGTTCCCATGGACCTTTGCAATCCTTAAGCTCATCATCTGAACATTCAATATCCCAATCATCTTCCATTTCATATAACAATTGGATAGATAAATGTTGTTTATTTACTTATTTTGATTCGTTTGAAAAAAGGTTAGGTTAGAATAGAAAATCATGTAAAATGGAGTGATGTCAATCAATGATGTCATGTCACAAAATATTAAATTAAATGTAAAATTTTAGAATTTTTACTTTATGTTTTTAGATTCAATGTAACAGAATTAATTACTAATAAACTGGGAATAAGCCACAATTAAAGATAAAAATACGTTTATTGACGTTTCAATTTCCACTTCGGAAGTCGTTCTCAAAATACAAACAGTAAATTTATTTATCTTTAATTGTGGCTTATTCCCAGTTTATTAGTAATTAATTTACAATGCCACAAGAAAATAGCTTCAGAACAAATGTAACAGAAGTCAACAATTTTTTTATATTTATTCCATAATCCAATAATTTTTAAGATTTTTTGTTATAATTGTATTATTGATAGTGAATTTATTCATAAATGTTTTTACCACAAATAAATTATCGTTTACTAAAAATTGTCTTGCCAAAGATATATATGTCAATGTCATCTAATTTGAGGTTAGAACATGTGTTAATGGCGGTTTCGAGATGGCTTCCCAATTTAGTGAAGATGGAAAATATTTTGCCCATTTATCCACAGATGGAAAATTGAAAGTTTGGGATACATTGTCCAATAAATTTGAACAGGAATTTACTCCTGATTTTCATTTGACGTCACCTTGTACATGTTTACATTTCATTCAAAACGATGGGGGAAAATACAAGGTGAGAGCCATGTGCTTTTATTTGAATACAGTTATTTTTATAACAATTTTTGTAGGGTGGATCGCCAAAAAAGAAAAAACGAAGAGATTCTGAGTCATTTATTAGTCCAAAAATAGTCTTAGGAACAACTTCTGGTGTTTTACTGTTATATTCAATTACAAATGCTGGCTTAGAAAGTTCAATTAATAGTGACACAAATCAAGCAATTAACTGCTTATCTACAGTTGACTCTAACATTGTATATTCAGGTTTAGAACAGAATGTTGTTATCTGGAATTTAGAAAAACAAACAGTTATTAAGTAAGTTGGAGTGTAAATACAATAATGTTAGATTGTGTAATTTTGTTATTTTAGCAAATGGAAGGTTGGAAATGAAAAGGTAACAGCAATATTGGCAATACCAGAAAGCAGTCAATTATTAACAGCTTCAAGAAACATTAAATTGTGGGACATAGAAGTAAAAGAAGTACTTAGGACATTTACTGGTCATAAGTCAGAAGTGATGTTTCTTTATTATGTGAATCCCCTTTCGAGTGATGAATCATATTTTATGTCAGGCTCTAAGGTAATGAAGTGTTTTGTTTAAATGATCACACTACTATCCTAGTATAAATGAAGACAATTGGAAAATTACAGCAAAGACTAGGCTACAAATTTCAATCTGTGACAGATATTCTGTACCAGCCTTCTATTAAAGTTTCAGACTTTGTTAATTGACAGGTTAACGTAATTTTAAGAATATATTTGTATGAGACAAAATATATATGATACATAATACTGTGCATTTGTAGCTCAGATGCTTTAGTACTAGCTTACCAAGATAGATTTGAAGGATTTCTGCAGTTGTCCTTTTTTTTCTGCATCTAATATCTGTTTTTTTTATTCTATTCTGTCCCCGGTTTCATATAAAGCAAGAAAGACTTACTCTTTAAAAGTTTGATTTCATGAGTCTTATTTTATCAATGGGAAATCGCCCAATTAAAATACAATGTAAATGTTTATAAATTACAGAAGATTGTTAACGTAACCTACTTAAATTAAATATAAAAATTTTAATCATACAAAAAATAAAAGTAGGAACAGTAAATAACAAACATTAACAACAAATGTACAAAACACAAGGACATCAAGCTATCACACACAGTTTTTAAGCCGAGCTTTAAATTCTTTTGAAATACTATAACAATCCAACCTTTGGGAATAATGATTTACAAACCTTGGTGTTCTAGATGTGAATGAATTAAGTCTGTAGTTTGTGTGATGGGGTCTAACATAAAAGGGTTGATTTAGCCTTGTTTGTCAACTGGGAATATGGAGATTAATTTTTCCAATAGTTGAGGACCAAAAATAATACAGTACAATACAGTAAATAATAGTGCAGTATACTATGAAACATAGTGAGATCTTTGTGCATGGGTCGGATTTGGAGAGAAGTTATGTTAAGGGGCCTTTCCATATTTGAATAGTTCATTTCTTCAATCCTCTGGTTTTGTTTAAATGCAACAAATCTTAAGAATTTTTGTTGAACTCAATAGCTTGAATATGGATGTTATAGTGAGGAGAGCAAACACATGAACAGTAATCTATGTTTAGTCTCACAAGTGAACAATACAAAAATTTTATGGATGGGATATTTAGAAAGTTTTTAGAACAACATTTGATATACCCTAAAAGTTGAAGTTATTTTGAGACAATAGATGAGATATGGGGGATGTAGGATAAGCTGGAATTGAGCACAACACCTAGGTCTTTTATCTGAGATACATAGTCCAAAGAGCAACTATCGATGGTATAGATATGATTTGTATGAGTTTTATTCCTACCAAAAATTATTAAATGATACTTACATTAAATTCCATTCCGCTCAACTGATCCAAATCAGACCGTAGTTTTTGATAGTTACCATCATTCTCAATTTTCAAATATAATTTTAAATTGTCAGCAAAAATTAGGAAAGAAGCAAAGAGGAAACAAAAGGCAATGTCAATAGTTATTGAATAGAAGAGGTCCTAGGTGTAATCCTTGTAGTACTCCTGAAAGTACCTCAATCTCAAATGATTGAAAACCCTGAACACATACTACTTATATTCTCTCAGTTAGGCAGGATAATAACCATTCTAAAAGTTCACCCTGGATTACCTGGAACTTATTGATTAAAAGATTGTGATTTACCTGGTCAAAAGCGTTTGTAAAGTCTGTGTATACAGCATGAACTTGGAAGCCTTCTTCAAGAGATTCAGTAAATGTCAATAAATTAAGTTACGTGGAGCAGCTAGAGAGAAATACAAATTGCTTTTTAATAAAACAGCCTTTTAAAGTTGCTGACAAATAGTCACAAGGCTCTCAAAAACTCAAATGCTAACATGTTTACTTGAGAATTATCTCCAGATTTTAGTATTGAAAAATACAGACAGGTTAAAAATGTGAAAAAGAGGTCTAGAAAGTAAAACACTGAAGTGTTTAAGAAAAGGAGGTGAAAAATCTGGACATGGCCCCTTGTTGCTATCCAAAATGGAAAGTTTTTCATATATAGAAGAAATAGAAATGCTAAATTGTGATAGGTTGATGTCTCCTGTTAAAAAGGTTTCATCCTGCAAATCAAAATCTTTATTACTATAAGTTGATCCAATTTACTTTCTCTTTCTCTGAGTCAACTTTTTTGTCTGTGATACATACCAATAGTTGTTGGTATGTATTGTCAATTGAAACCATTTCTCCTCTTTCAATTTTGTTAACAACAAATTTGTTTTTCTTCCTACATTCTTTCATAATATTAATGTAGTCTATATCCTTGTACAAGCACTGTTGATAAAGAGTGCTTAACATCCCCAAATTCTAAATCATTGGGCAGAAAGATATGTCCTGGTACTAAGAATTGATAAGTGATAGAATCAAGATATAGTTGGTTATGCAATGTGTGTATTATTAAAAGTACTAGATTAATACTGCACTTTGACCACCAAAACAGTCTGACCACAGAACCAAGTTTTTAACAGGTGGATTAGTATGATCTTTATGTACTTCCGAACAGAATCCCACTTCTTGGGTTCCTCTCCCAGCTTCATGTTCACTTTAAAGTACAGTAAATAAAATGTTTACTTACTTTTTTATTATTAGTAAGGTTTTACTACTTTCCACCTGGTTTAGGATCTTTTTTAATATATCAAATTTAATATAATAATAAATATTATCAAAATTATTAAACCAAATAATAGAAGATAACAACAATTTTGTAATCTACTGTTTAACTATTAAGGCACCAATGTGGGTTGATAAAGGATTGAGTTTTTATTACAAAATAAACTTAAACTAGCTGACTGTGCATTGAGTCGTTTTTAGCTTGAATTGATGGTTAAATGTTTTTTGTATAATATTGAGAGTTAAATATTCAGAGACAGGGTTAAAATCTCAACTGTATTACTCTTTTAAATACCGATTTGACAAATCATTTTTGAATAATTTAAATAACATAGTCTACCATGTGATTAGGACATCTCAATTTTTAATATTTTGTGGTTGAACTGCTTTTTGCATAACACTATCCAAATATGGAGTGGCAAATGAAACAGTTAATATGATAAATTTAGCAAAAGACACACTTATATTGGTCACATCTTTTGATCATTTGTGTTATTTGATAACTGAAACTGTAGAAATAGGTCAAGAGTAGTATTGATAAAATAAACTCACCCAATCAGGGGAATCTCCCTGAAATTACAGAGATCTTAGTGAATGAAATTGTTCTAAAAGGAATACCAATATTTTGTGGGAAATCATATAAATTAAAATCTGTGTGGTATGGTGTAGTTAAATATTTATTTATTAACTGGGGAACCACATTTTACAATTAAATTTCAAAAAAATATATAAAGAATCCTACACCAACTATATTATAAAAATGAATACATTGAAAACAAAAATACGGAATCTACAAATCATTTAAAACTAGTTAAAGACTATTCTTAAAAAGAGGCAAATATATTCCTGTAAAACCTACACCCTCATCATTGAATCAAAACAAGCAAATATTTCTGGTAACCATTTTAAATGGCAATTCACTATCAAAATCAGGATGATAGCCATTTGATAACTGCTAGACTGTTATTTCATCTATTATACAAATATTTAAACTTTAGGGAGATAGGACCCTTAGTTGTTGGAGTTTGAACAACAATGTCTCGGAGAAAAATGCAGTTGCCAATTTCCTTATGGAGGATATTGTTCTCAATATTTCTATAAACGTTGGAGATGATGGAACTACACAAATGGCTGCTACTGTTA